TCTCTCTCTCTCTCTCTCTCTCTCTCTCTCTCTCTCTCACTCACTCATTCACCCCGCGTACTCGAGTGAACCGTATACACGCGCTACCTCCCCTCCGCGAGGTGCACGCGCGCACGCGGGCGACACCGGGTTTCACGGGTATTAATGCCGCCGTGCCTGTCCCGACCAATGGGCGCCTCGCGCGTTAAACTCACCCTCGCCGCCACCACCGCTTCGACCCTTATCGGTGGCGGTGGCCCCACGGCGGCGCAATCGTCAGTCGCCCGACAACGGACCACCGCTCACCATTACGTCGACGTAACCGCATCCCTCAGCGTACGACCGACCGCTCCGAAACAACTCGCACTGATACACCAAACATCCGCCGTTGATTACCGACACTTGCCCACACGTGTCTGACCGAGCTGTTCCGTACTCCCAAGGCTTGCCGTACACACATGTATAATACACATATATAATATATTTATATATACATGCACATATTACAAACGTACGACCGGAAGATCAAGGTAAGCCATTGCGTGGCAATTATATTTTTATAATTTTTTCCTCACCCGCTATTACATACACAATCACATATCGAGACGACGACAGTTTTCTGTGCCTGCAACTAAAACCTTCAGGGCGTTATTATTGTTTTTACCAACACATTGCACGACATCCAACATATTTATATTGTAAAGAACAATTGCTCTATTATATGCAAATCAACGCCGCGATGGGTGTCCATACGAAAACAATTGATAATTACATTTTGAGAATTAATTAAAAATCGTAATATACACGCGTTGGAATAAATTCCACATTAGTACATTTTTCGTATTACGGTATACAACTATATAGGACATTTATTTCTCGTATATCCAAGAAAATTGTCACTCGGGATTGATATTCTTATTAGCCTTAAAAAAGGTAAAATATCTGATACACATGTACATATATGTATATCGGGTACTTATCTGTTATCCCTACTACCGCGACTCTCAATTCTGTTATCTCGACTACTACTACTAGTACTATCCAGATAGTTCCGTATTTTAATACACAATACACGTCATGAAATGCAATTTATATTAAAATGTATATTAGTATAACGTTTATTATCAATAATCATATAAATTATCACAGTAATGGAGAGTTATAGTACAAAACCACGATTTAAGATAGTACTAGGGTATCTTAAATCGTGTATAAAACATAAAATCATTAAAATGATCACAAAACGTGAAATTACAAATTCTAAAATTATCACAGCGGTGGAAAGTTATTATAATATAAAACAAAAAATCATCAAAATGATCACATTTACAGTTGCATAAGTCTAAAATTCTATTTTTGGTGACCAATTTTCGAAAATATTTTTCAATATGTTATCGAATGGTTCTCCTTCAATGCTGTGTCTCCAGATAAACTTCGCCAGATAAGACTCCAAATGATGGCGTCTGGTTCCCTTATGGTTTTTATTTCTCCATTTAGCGGAGCCCCAAACACGTTTGGCGTGGGAGTCGAGATAACAGAATTGAGTAGTCGCGGTAATAGGGATGACAGACAAGTACCGTATATCGTATTAGAATACAATGTTTTCAGCACTCGAAACGCTTCTCGTGGTATAGAACACGAGTGTTATAATAAGGCGTCGTCACTTATATTCTGTTGCTCGTCTAAGCGTTTCGTACCGCGTGCAAACGACTTACAATAATACCTAGGTACACACGAGTATAATGATACCCATAGGTCCGTTTAACATTGATGTACACCATACGCTTTCGTACCGAGTTCACATAATAATAAAATATTGAATCCGAGTAAATATACGTTCCGTGTGACTCTCATGCGCCGCACATGTTCACGACGTGGATGACCCTGCACGTAAACCATGACGCTCAATCAACTGAAATGTATTTATCGAGTCTGCATGCGAGCCCGGGACGTAGGATTCACAGTTACCCATCGGCTCGTCGGACCATGCAGGTATATATATATATATATACCTATGCGCGCGCGTGTACCCGGCAATCAAATTTAACTGCTGTAGTACCCGAAAAACGACCCTTCGCCACCGCTCGTCGTGTACCCGAAACTCCTCCCGGTGTTTTCGAAACCCTTCATCAGCCGAAACTATTACGTCGAATCGAACTCTCGGCGTAATACCGGCTGCGTACACATTCATAATAAGTCATAATAGTACCACCGCGTAGGTAATAACACGCGTGTTAAACGAATCGACGTAGTGGTGCACATTTTCAATTTTTTTTTTTTTCGGGAAGATATAAACGTCCGTTTATCAGACGCGTCTTACTGAATATTATTTGTTATTACGCGTTGTGATCGGAAAATATGACACGCGAATGCTTCTTTACCGCAACAACAATAGTAATATTTCGGTGAGCTTTGAACATACTTATTACTCGCGGTTCGCGACGCCGTCGAAATGAACCGGGTTGAAATGATCCATCCGATCGCGACGCTCACCCCCCCCCTCCGCGTAGGATCCCGTGAAATCGTTTTAAGTATACCATCCCCTGCAGGCAACAGTGCTGCGTTAATCAAGGTGTTTTTTTTTAACGTGCATGACGATTTCGCAGATGATGGCGACTACCGGAGGAGAGTCGTTGAAGTTCACCGCCCGGTTCGGCGGAGGTTCGGCCGGTGCGGGCAACAGCGGTCTGCACGTGTTCGACCGTTTACCGTCGCTGTACGTGGACGCGGTCTGGGCGAGATTCCGGCACCATCCGGCCGCGATGTTCTCGGCGGCCACGGTGGCGGCCGCGGGCTGCGACGGCGGTCGGCCGCACCACCGTCAGCTGCTGCACCGCGGCCCGGCCGGCCAGATGGAAGGCTACGTGCGGGCCATGGCGCTGTCCAGGAACGTGCAGAAGCAGATGGCCGCGATGGCGTACGGCGCGGCGACCACCGGACCGTCGCCGGTGGCCACCACGCCGGGCGGCAAGCCCAAGAAGCGGTACATCTGCACGTACTGCGACCGCGAGTTCAGCAAGTCGTACAACCTGCTCATACACGTCCGGACGCACACCGACGAGCGGCCGTACCCGTGCGACGTGTGCGGCAAAGCGTTCCGCAGGCAGGACCATCTCAGGGACCACAAGTAAGTGCAACCACTGTTCGGACTTCCATCGTAAACCCGTTTCCCGTTGACCCGTACCGCCGCTCTTACTGATAATCCGAAGCTGTCGATCGAATCGAAAACGGTGTCGAGATCCAATTTAAAATTAAACGCTCCCAGGTGAGATCTACTTCCCCGGACGGTTACTACATTATTCATGATATCCTATTTTCTTAGCGTGCACATGACATTGTGTTGTACGTTTCAAAAGATCAAAAGCATACGTCGAGCCGGACATTTCGGAATTCGAAAAAAATAAACGTTGAATGCAATTTACCGTACGTGGACGCGTAGCCTATTCGGAGTTGACGCCGCCGTGGGCGTATTTTCTGTGTTACTGCGGAAATGCGTTTTTTTTTTACACCGCAGTCGTATTATTTATTTACCGGAGCACATACTTCAAGTGATGACACGATGTGTAAATAGATGTTCACGTCGTCAGTGCAACGCGACCAATGGCGGCTCGAGGGGTTCACAGGAGGTGGGGCACACTTTTTTTTAACTCCCTTCCGTGTTACACCATGATTTCTCACTCTTAATTTTTTATGGTTTTGTATTTATCTCGATTCACTGCTGACGGACTGATGAAATATATTAATTTATTACAATAGTAATATGCAAATCACCATACTTGTATTCTCACCCCACACACACAAACACAAACACATACAAATACTACAGCATGACGCCTACTATTATTTTACTATTTACAATTAAGAAAATTTTAATTTTCAATATAACAACTTTTTCCGAATAACAAGCCTCTTTCGTTGTAATCCAGTGTACGGCATTGCATGATTTGGATACATTTTAATTCTGGACACACTTTCTAGCCCGTTTCGAACCGTCACAATTTCGACGATCCCTGCGCGCATGTTGAACAGAATTCGCGTAGGAGTTACAAAACAGTGCGTTACTTCCTGTCTATGGAAACATAATATGCTATTAGCATATTATGCTGTATTGTTCGCGTTTTAGGAACTGTACATTTTCTAAATTTTATTCTTGTTCAATCGGTTTAAACTAGAAAAAGCACATTTTCTTGTGATTTCGATTTTCAAACTTAAATCTAAGCGCAGTCAGCGGCAAGTTTTTGTTTTGTTTCATTGGTAGATGGATTTATTTATTAGTTTTCCTCCACTCGTTTTGGTCCATGTTTTGTTCGGTGTTTCTGTTCCGTTGGCCCACCGTCGACTCTGCGAGTGCGTATCGATCCCCGACGTGTCGCAGCAACGGTCTTTTTTTCGCCATACACTTTTTTCACTCGTGTATTTCGTTTCACAGGTACGTACACATGAAGGACAAACCGTTCTCCTGTGAATCCTGTGGCAAGGGGTTCTGCCAGATGCGCACGTTGATCAGTCACCGGAAGAACGCGCAGTGTCAATGGTACCAGTACCAGCGGCACCAGGCGATGGCCACGCAAATCGCCGCCGCCACCGCAGTCGCCTTAGCCGCACCGCCCCCGACCACTGCTGCCGTGGCCGACACCGTTCAGAACCCGAACCTGACCGATTTTAGTATCAAAACACTGTTGGGAATGGACGACAATCAATAGTGCGATGGTATTACATTGTACAGAACATTTACATAAATGTGCTCCTCACTGTATGATAAAAAATGTTAGCGAATTATTACAAAATTATATATAATATATTCTATCCTATTATCACTGTAATATACAAAAATATTATGTTTTGTTTTTTATTATCATAATTATTATTATTATTATTATTATTATTATTATTACTATTACTACCGATATCATGTATAATTATATTATTATTTTCATCATGAATAAAAACGACATTTACTATATACCAGATTACTAATATCAGATTGCTTATACTATTTCTTTTTCGAAAATAATACTATATTGTTTATAGAATAATATCAACTATGTATAAACAGTATAACTATTTCAAGGCTGGTTAAGTTATCTAAATGTCTTAACTTTTTAAGCTCAAAGTTAAAATTGTTAAAATTAAAAGTTACACGTTAAATGGAAAAAAAATAAATAACTTGATATTAATCAGATAAAACTTTATTTGTATACGTAGTTTTGATCCTTATTGAAATCTAAGAACGGTGCAATACTTCTACAATCATAATTACGAAAGAAATTACTTGAAAAAAAAAAAAATTAAAGTTAAATAAAATAAAAAAAGTAACTTGATTGAAAGGGACTTAACTTTAAAACTCGTTCATCTTCAGCCTCGGTCTATTATGTATTAAATGACAATACGTATATTTTACACGAATTATTGCGGTTCCTAAACACGAGAACCGCAGGAAAACTGTTTACGTACAGTTGGAACAGATAAATATCGTACGCAGCTTGAGAGGCTAGTGAATAGAACGGTCACACGAAAAAGTCCCTGGTTGTTTAGAGTTCAAAAATCGTCGTACAGAATAAAATTAATATTAGAAAATAATACGCGATAAGAGTGTCTGCGATTGTAGTTTTGACGATCAATAGCGGTTAGCGGGTGTAACGGGCAATCGCGAGGGTGGTTTTTTTTCGTTTAAAATATTTGCCACGCTCAGTTGGCGAGGGCGGACGTTGCGTAACAGTTAAACGATGTACAGCCGTCAACACCGGGTGGGCCACCCTGCGGGTCTGTATGGCAGCAGCAGCAGCAGTAGTTGTTGTCGCGTCTTACACCGAATAGAAGAGGACTGTCTCACGTGTAACGTTTAATATATCACGTCGGCTTTACACGGCAATACTATATAATATTATGACGTGCGTCACCAACGCGTATTCGACTAAGTATTTATGTTTATCGCACGCATACATTGTGCCTCGTTGTTCGTTCGTGTATCAGGTGCGAAACGACATCGAACACTACACCAACGAGGCGCTGCTAGGGACCACCGCTGCCGGACGCTACGTGTTGCTTAATATACGACGTGAATACGATACTTACTCGACGACGCGCACGCCATTACCGCGGTAGCAAGCGCGCGTCCGAGAAATAGGGTCGTGCGACTGTAATCATCCCCTTACGACGGCACTCGGCACTTGGTGTCGGTCAGCGCACAACGTATGTCGAGTACAAACTATACGCATTTATAAATACCTATACTAACATTATTGTAATTATTATACGGCCGCGTTCGTCTAACGAGCCGAAAACACGGATTTCCACCTGCCACCAGTTTGTATTCATATTTTTGTAACATGACGCGGAATACACCTGACGTACGCGATCTACTACACGCGGCAGACGCTGACACACGTACGCGTGTAGACCGCCTCGACGAGATTTTTTCTGTCCAAGACGTGCCAGGCGCCGATCCAGTCTATCTTAACGGAGGGAGGGGGCGGATTATAAATAAGTATACATATTTAGATACCTATTGGTAAATACGAGTATACATTACTATATATATATATATATATATATACACGAGTATATACTAGCATACTAGCTGACCCGAAAAACGTTGTTTTGTCATATAAATTATTTCTAGAGAATATTTCGCTAGAAAAAAATAACTTATTTAATATAAATGTGTAAGGATGTAGTATATAAGTGGAAGAGGTATTGGGTGCTGAGAACGGTGACGGAATATAAAAATGGAAAAACAACAAACATTTATTTTTTTAATAATTTATTAAAATTGATCCTATAAAATTATATATATATCGCTAATTATGACAATATTAGTAAAAAACAGTATCAATCCCTTAATGAAACAGAGTGTACAATATTTTTTGTTATCCCATCTTTCGCCAACACAAACAGAATGGTTCGAGAGCACGCCACGTATAATTGTTCGCGTGAAAAACATAATGTGCTCAAATCTAAGCCACAGACAGACATCGTTTGGCCTTGTGACTTATTGATAGTCATTGCAAATGCCAATCTAATTGGAAATTTAAGGCGTTTAAATTGCATTGGCACATCTGTAGGTATAATAGGGATTCGCGGTCATAATATATTTTCACCTCGGAATTTGCCATTTCAAATGATGGCTTCGATAACATTTTTCATTAATTTTTTAATGACTAATCGCGTACCGTTGCACAACCGTGGTGGGTTCAAATTACGAAACAAAATAACGTATATACTTATATATAATAATATGTATATTTATTTCACAAGCTACTAAGTTACCAAATTGATTAATCACATTTTTTATTTTATTTTCTAATTTGAATTTGTCATCGAAAATGGATTTTTTTTTTTAACTATATTGGGTTAGGCACCACGTCCTGATCAAAAACTGACATTACATCTTCATCGAATCCAGATTCTAAATCATATAGTAAATTATCGAGAAAGAGAATAAAAAGAGTTATTCTAAAATATTCTTCAGCAGATTGAGTTTGAGGATTTTTTTTTTTTTTCATTACTTCAAATAATCTTGGCTTGTTAATTCCGGTTGAAATCCCCAAGTTGGCCAACTGATTTTCAACGGTTTTAAATATTTTGTTAAAACAATTGGGACCATTTTCTCGTTTTTTTTTTTTTCAAAATAGAAATTACATTTTTTATTATAATTGTAGCTGAAAATTTGTCCAGGCTTTTAAATTGCAATAATTTATTTACTGGAGATGTTATAGTGAAAATTTTTGAAACAGTTATTAATGTCAAAATAAATTCGCCAGACGATAGTGATTTAGATTATTTAGATTTTTTACTTGCGGTATTTATATCATCTCAATCGGATATTTTATCTAATGCCTCGATTTATTATTTTCACTAAGTCAGTGAAAAATTGTAAAACACAATCATGTTTTTCCACCCATCTTGTTTCACATAATGAATGCAATGATGATTTTAAAGTATTTTTTAAAATATAATTTTTTTTCACTGATTTATCAAAAAAATTAATTATTTCATTCATTACTCCGAAAGCGTTTCTTACAAATTTAATTTTGCATCCTTTCATAACAGACAAATTTAAAATATGACTAAAACAAGTACATTTGATTGCATATTTCATTTTTTCTTTAAGTGTTTTAACTGCTCCATATTTTTCAGATAGCATAACACTACATCCATCTGTTGTAATTCCGACGCAATTTTCAAATAATAAATCAAGTTTTTTTAAAATACCTAAAACTGAATTTCTTATAATTTCACCAGTTATTTTAGGTTCTACTTCCCCTTCAGTATTTTTATAGTTGTCTTGATGACAGTCTAAGAAGCCGACAAAATCTTCATAAACTTCATTTTTATGGACATATCGAATAACAATGACTAACTGGGAAATTTTTGATACATCATCGGTTTCATATAAAATAACACTATAACATTTTGATTGTTTTACTTTTTCCAACACATTTTTAAACATCAAATTTCCCATAATACAAATAAGTTCGTTCTGTGTCGTTTTACTAATGTAAGTGATTCTAGAATCGGAAATTAGTAAATGATTTTTTTAAATCTCATCACCAGATGAAATTCTGAAATTTAATAATTCCCTGAAATTTTCTTAATTTTCTGTAGGCTTTTGAGAATCGTCAAACATACTGCCATCATCGCGATGTCTTCGAATAGCAATATTTTGTTTACCAAGAAATATTAATTAGTCAATTATTGGTTTCAACCGAGATCAATTTTCTTTAACTTGTTCGTAATGAGCTGTATTTAATGTATTAGTAATTTTATTTTGTGGATTATTATAAACATGTAAAAATGATTTACCATCCTGAACAGCGTTTTTATGATAAATATTTCTACTATGAGTTTCTAGGTAACCATCCTTTCCAAGAACCTTAGCAAATTTGGTTAAAGGTTCGGTTACAAGACATTTAAGAGGCATGGTATTTTTTGATCCTGTGCCAGTATTAGTGTGATTAAAAACTGAACAATAAACACAGAATAAACCATTCATAGATTATGATATGCTCCAAATGCTCTATTTTCACAAATCTTTTTTCTATACTTCCGCATTTTTTGTGAGTAGAAAAAGGAAAATCATTTTTATTTAGTGACCTCTAGTGATCTTCAAGAAGTTGTTTTTTAAAATTGTTTAATAATTATTTAGGCATTATAAATAATATATTTATTCATGTAAACGTATACATTTGTACGTTTCATATAATACTATAATATAATATAGTACAATTGGTACAAATAAGGATTATAATAGAACATAATATGTCTATTATATGTATTCGTATAATCGGTTTTATTAGTTATTGTTTAATTTAGACATTTGACGTTTATTTTTATAATTATATTATAGGAATTAATAGTTAATTTTAAGTAATAATACTTTATATATTTTTCATTTGGCCCGACCTAATAAAAGTGTCTAGTTTCGCCTATGCACATGTGTAAGGCTGACGTCGCTCTGCTGCAGCAGTGTGTAATGACGTGCATTGCGACGTGTGTGTGCAAAACGGCGGGTCGTAACATTATTATATAGGTGCAACAGGTAAACCCGGTAGGACTGCCAGTTACCACCCCACGTGTAACCTATTAATAAGTAAATAATAACACGATAGTAGTAGAGTAATAATATACGTGTACGAGGTTTACGGCAACGGGACTGCAAGGATAATAAGGAAATATAATGGTAATAAGCTGTTGCGCTTGTGGCAAACCGTACGTAGTAGGTATGGTATGTTATATATTTCGCCTTCGTCGAATCCGCTACACGTAACATCATCACATTATGTCCGCGTACCCCGTCATTGTGTTATTAT